AGTGTGTGCGGGACGATTTCCCTTATATTCTATTGGCTCTAACGGTCAGAAAGAGATGTCACATGTCAAAATCGAAGAAGGGGGGCCAGAGATATGAAAAATCCACCCAAATGGCCCCAGAAGAGGTTTTTTTCTCTAAATCTATCTAAAAAGGTCAAATATCACTTGTTTTGCATCAATCTTGATACAGGGTACTTATTATATGTTGNGTCCTTTCCTGCGATCTTCTTCATAAAGTCAGTCAAAAGGAATGAATGAATGGGCCTTTCTTTGACTATTTATAGGCAAATATTTGCGTTACGTGAAGCCCGCAAAAAGCTGCACAGCATTTCGAGTCGATTGTGATTTATAAAGGGAAACCGTCGTACGGAGTGCCGTACGCACTTTCCTCGCCGGTACGCAATGTTCGGTGAATCGGAAAATGGCGGAAAATGTATGTACCTATTTTTCGGATTTCTACTACGTAAGCAACCTTCCCACAATAATCCTACGCACGGCGTTATACATGAGGCCCCAGGACTCAAATCCAGAACTCAGGATAGAGGATCCAGGACACAGGACCGCAGCAACAGGATCAGCCACGGCTCAGGATCCCGGCGTAGATAGACACCAAAAATAGATTTGGGTTAAGCTGGGTTATTCGGAACATGAGAGTACACAGGTACAGACAGACAGAAGGAAGAAGTAAGGTGTCCCCCGACAGTCTAAGCCTATAGCAGCAAAACTAACGTGTCTACAGGCTACATGCACTCCCTTAGGATAGGTTGAGGGAAAGGGGTAGCAAGTAAGAAGTAAGGATAGAGGTGGAGAGGCACAACGTGTCTACGTACATGCACTCCCTAATGCTGCGTTCATACCGGACGCAAAGTGAATAGTCGCTTCGCTCTAATCGCTCCTATCGCATCGCTCTAGTCTAATGCTGCGTTCACACAGGACGCGATGCGAATATTCGCTTCGCATTCCAATCGCTCAAGTTTCACCGCGGCTTGCAGTTTGTTTCATTCAAAACAAACATACAAAACTTGAGCGATTGGAATGCGAAGCGAATATTCGCATCGCGTCCTGTGTGAACGCAGCNGCTCTTCGGTCTTGGCCATAGTGGAGTTTGGAGTGTGACTGTTTGAGGTTGTGGACAGGTGTCTTTTATACTGATAACGAGTTCAAACAGGTGCCATTAATACAGTTAACAAGTGGAGGACAGAGGAGGCTCTTAAAGAAGAAGTTACAGGTCTGTGAGAGCCAGAAATCTTGTTTGTTTGTAGGTGACCAAATACTTATTTTCCACCATAATTTGCAAATAAATTCTTTAAAAATCAGACAATGTGATTTTCTGGATTTTATTTTTCTCATTTTGTCTATCATAGTTGTAGTGTACCTAGGATGAAAATTACAGGCCTCTCATCTTTTTAAGTGGGAGAACTTGCACAATTGGTGGCTGACTAAATACTTTTTTGCCCCACTGTATATATACAAAGCTGGGCCTTAATCTTAAATCACAAAGAGAGAGAGGGGGGGTTCTGTGACGCTGGATAACTCCTGACAGTTATATTAATCGTTACCGTGCAATGTATACAAAACATGGTGGTAGATTATCCTCTTTTCTTTATGTATCTGAAGCGAATAAAAACGGATACAAATCAATGCACTCGGGGGGTTAATGCAGCACCATGATGGATACAAATCAGACTGCTGTTTCTATGAGGGCTTCTGGGTAATATTACCAGCGCACCACCTACAGTGCAGCAGGCTTATGAAGTGGATGAGTGCTGTTTAGTGGTTTGGCTATTAGTGGACACTCTCACTGGGCCTGTTGTCACCAAAAAGCAGCCGTTTTTCAACACACCTAAAGCTTTTCCCTTTCTACCACATCACCCAGTTTCTGTCGCTTTAGTTCCTTATTCTTTCTCTTTATGCAATTTACACTCAGGGTTCAAAGCAGACTCACTTTCTGCTCTTGACAACTTGGATCACTTGTCTATTTTAAGCCGTGGTAATAGCCATCTCTGTGGAAGGGCATAGTCTCTCCCCCCTTCTCCTTCCTCTGCCCTTCCTTATTATCTCGCTACCATTCCTTCTTGAAACCTCTTTTCTCTCCACCCTTCCCGATCCCCCTCTCCCCAGGGAGTCTGTGATTCTGCTGAACCTCGGGTCAGAATGTTCCAAGCGTCACACAAACAAACGTCCCCCTCCTGATCAGAGGGGGAGCCGCTCTGTGTAGCAGGGAGGTTGTGAAAGAGACATGGGAAGATTTTAAAGCTAACATTTTAGAAACATGTCTTCTTAAACTTGCAAACGTTTTGTATTTTCATGTAAACACTCGGTGGAATTTCTTTGTGTATTAAAAAGGGGGTCAAAAGGGGTTACTTATAGTAACAAAGTCACAGAATTATCGACACTGCAGCTCCCCTCAGCTCAGCAAATGTAGTGTCTTTCAGCAACTGTAAGTGTTCCGTTTGGATTTAGTCCCATTGCTCTCATCCCCACTTTTAACGCATTTTCTTTGTGATCTGTCGAGCACCAAACCAGAGACACACAATGTCAAAAATCTGATGAACATAGAGGATTTAGCAGCGAAAGAGCCAGAGATTTATCTCAGGAGTTGGTGGAGACTAGAACATAACTAGAGTAAAACAAAGCAATGAAAGTTATTAATGGCTTGCATCGCAAATACAAATGAATGCTATTGTTGCTCTGTATCGGCAGGATGTGTAAATATGTACATTGTTGCTAGCAATTGTGATAATTTGTCAGTGATGTGATGGCAGTTTGTTTCAATGTCTGTGAATGGCAAAAAAATACATAATGAACTATATTTGATCAGTTACATGTGATCTTAAACAAAACTAATATGTCAGAGTTTAAACTCCTAGTCCAAACCGGAAACTACAGGTGTTGTTGCACAAAATGCAAACTATGTTGGGATTAACTTTGAGAGAAAATGTTTAGCCAGAAGCTACTAAACTACCAATTGAAATATATGTTTCCAAAAGCCGAAAATCAGACCATGTCCTTTGCTATGCAATACTGTTAGGTAGTGTGGTTTCTGATCCTTCCTGAGCAACTTCTGCTTTCCATGCGTCACTGTTTCACTAAGTGAGTGGCAGAACATAAAAGGTGCTCACCAATTGAGGCCACTGCTACTTATTATATTAATAAAGGCAGTTATTTATTGCAGTAATATAACCATGAGCATGTCATTTATCAAAATGTGAACTCGAAATGTCCTTCCTGTCCTAATCTGAAATTCACCATTAAGTGGTTAGACAATGTTTTTTTCTGCATGTTTCTCAAATTCCCTATCCATGTCCTCATTTGCCACTAGTTTAAAAAACTTGTTTTTGTTACTAGCTAACCAATCAGAGCAGACTGGACTCTGGTTTCAGACTGAGGGTGAAAAGAGGTGCTGCAGCACAGACAGTATGAGGAAAATAAAGAGCTTTTTGAACATTAAAGCATGGAGACATGTCGCAGTAGAGACACTAAATACAAATATGAACCTTAAAATGAGCCTTACAGTGCCCCTTTTAAGAAATGCGGCAATGTTCCCTTTCCCCGTCCTCCAGCTTTTTCCCATCCGTCACCTCCACCTCCTAACCCTCACCTGTCTGCAGATGTCCTTCGCCTCCTCTACAAATTTATCAGAATACTCCTCCTGGTCCTCGCGCACTCTCCTGTCCACCTCCTCCCGCTTGACGCGCTCCTTGCGCTTGCGAAAGGGCGACTGGCCCTGAATCATCTCGAAGATCAGGCAGCCCAGCCCCCACCAGTCGGGGCTGACGGAGTAGCTCTCGTTCTGGATCACCTCGGGAGCTGAGGGAGGGACGAGGAGCGAGAAAAGAGGAGTCAGTTTGAGGGGAAGTCATCTCCAGTCAAACAAAGACAAAGCAGTAATGGTGGAAGAGATTTGAGTGAGGAGGGCTTAAAGAATTGACTACAGAAGGAGGAAAAGAGAGCACACTACTCCTGTTTTTGTAACTGCAATTGATTTATAAATCCTATGACTGGTTTATAAAGCTCTTAATGGTTTGGCACCGTCGTAGGCATTTTAAAAATTCCTGAAGTCCCGCCAAAAAAACGGTTGAGGCAGCTTTTCCCGAACGGTGGAACACCCTACCAGGGATTATTATAGAGGCAAGGTCAGTGGACTTTTTTAAACGACAGCTGAAGAGATGTTTTTTTATTTGCAACATCCTGCTTTAATTAGACTTTCATTCATTATCATTCTTATTAATTTGTATTCATTTTAAGAGTTTTTAATATTTTACTGTATTTATTAATTTTGTGACTTATGACTTCCTTGTGCTCCTTGAATTGTTATATTGTGTTTTTATTCTACATACTTGCAAAAGTATGACCTGAATATCTTGTTTTCTTTTTGAATTTGTGATGTGTGGCATGTTGTTAAAGCACTTTGAGCTTCACCAAGTGTATGAAAAGTGCTAGATAAATAAAACTTTACTTTTACTATTATTATTATTATTATTATTATTATTGTGATATATATATATACACACACATTTAAAGTAGCCGAATCTTACCCATGTATCCAACAGTTCCCACTCTCCCTCGTATCGTCTCTCCTTCAGGGATTTGAACAGCAAGGCCCAGGTCTGAAATTCGGATGTGTCCTGAAAATGAATAACACACCACAGATTAATAACGTAACTGAGATCATGCTAAATGTACATACTAGTATAACATGGACGCTACAGAGGAACAAATTACATCCTATAATAATAGCCATGGTCTTTATTTTATGACTGGAGTGTGAAAGAAATTCAATAACAAAAGTAAGACAGAAATGTAGGAAATGACTGCTTAAGAGGAATGGGCTACATCAAAGGACAAGGAAAACAAAACATACCACGATCATCCAGAAGGATGTTTTCAGGTTTCAAATCCCTGCGGGTGAAAAATAAAAAGAGAGAACACATTAGGATTTCATTGTGTTGTTATCTGTTGTATAAAAATAGAACTTCCATTTGAGGGTGTAACAATAAAATCCTGGATAAATATTTGAATGCTTTATTACTTTGTTAACATTTCATTGTCTTTTATTGCCTGTGTGCTATTACACTCTCATGTGGATTCATAGATGGCTTGTGCACACATATATCTTTATATGCTTTATTTACTTTCATGCGTACTATTGTACTCAGCTATTTTCAACATTGTTTGAACAGAATATCCTGTCATCCCAAAACCTAATTTGCATGTTCTTTCTGAGCCTTTTTTAATTAACTTGCCTCAATTTAATTTGAATTTATTTGAACCATCTTTTAAGCTTGATTTATCAAACTTATTCCAAAGTGCAATAAAGCATTTTTTTATTAAAATAGCTATAAGAAATGAAAAACTAGGACACTCTACTAACCAATGCCAAGCTCAACTTCAATGCCAACTGTGAAGTTTACAGTAACACATGCAGAGATGAAGGAACACGGTGTGTTTATATGACTCTGTGGGCCATGTGTATGTGGGTGCATGTTTCCACTGAGAACATCAGTGTTTATGTTAGCACTACTCTGAGGGCTCCACTGAGTGGGACAGGTGCATGACACCTAAATGAAATCAGCACTCTCACAACATGAATCCTGGGACATTCATCATCCAAGACTTTCCATTTGTTTATCTTACACGACTGCAATAACTATCGGAATATATCTCTTCATAACACCAGAGCTAAGACCAGCATTCAGTGTTTTTGACCTTAAGTTCATTGTTGTCAGTCGTCTTTGGGTTAAAGGGATATTCCACTAATGTACTACTGCACTTCCATAAAGTTTGGGAGAGACACATTGAAAAAAGGAACAATCTACACCTTGACAGTCAAGCTTTAATATCTCAGTTCATACATTTCCCATGATGCAACCGAGTAGCGCCTTTTATTAGACGCTCACTGTCGTACGTAAAGACTCATTTTTAATAATATTTTTACAGCATTTTCATTTAACATTAACCTCATTGCATTTGAATTTAAAAACGTCAACCATTTGCACTCTAATATAATTCATATAGTATCCACTGTTTATACAAGTAGGTGTGATTTTAAGTGTGTTATAATTTATAATTTATAACTTATAAGTATGTTATACCTTGTTTGTTACATTTGATTTCCGTGTATTCTATAGATACTCTATCGATAGGTTTTTCTCCTGCTATACTTATATTTACAATTTTTTATTTTTTTTATTTTTAACTCATGTGCAATGTCTTAGTTAAACCCTGAGCCTGTTTTTCAGGTTTCAGGCTCGAAAATGACATTCCCAGAACAAATGACCATATCTTCCCTTTTAAAAGGGTTAAATTAATAATCTTTTTTCTCAAAGTAATGATAAACCTGTCAGTTGGATGTA